GGGATGTCACAGAAAAAATGGTTGACAATATTGGAGCCACAAAAGGGGAGCCTGAATGTGAAGCAGACATGCACCATTGAAGTCATGGTTCCACCTAAGTATGCCAACACAATGAAGCAGTTACATACTCTCCTAGACATCAGTGTGCAGTAGAGCAATGGTTTACAGATGGCTGCATAGCGGTCATATGCCATTGCTGCCAGGATAAGGCACTCCGCATCAGGAAAACAAGCAAAGAAAAACATTTGCAGTACAAAGCTATAGAAGGAGATGCTCTTCCTGGATGCGAAGAAATTTACCAGCATTTGAGGAGTAATTGCTGTAGAATAGCTGACGTCTAAGAAAGACAAGTTGCTAAGCAAATAATACATGGGGGTTTGAAGGCTTGAATTCATATTAACTAGGATTATTAAGCCAATATTTCCCACTGCTGTTAAGGTATATACTATGAGAAAGACCAAGAATAGTGTGACTCTGAAAGGCTGATAATCTGTGAATCCAACAAATATGAACTCAGTTGGCATGGTATAATTACTCTCCAACATCTTCTTAGTTTTCTTTTTTTTCTCATCAGAGATAGAAGGTATCAGAAGACATGAGTTGAGTTTGCTGATGGATGAACCAAAAATACCTTTATTCTTCCTTCTACAGAAGCAAATAGAAGGTTAATATAATCACATATATGGCAATTTCTCTGACAGTATTTTATCTTTTTTCATTTTTAAAAGGAGAAAATTAGAAATCATCATTGATGCCAGACAATGCCATTCAGGAGGTGGTGTTCCTTGATGTAGTAACTCTTTAAATGCTGTGCACTTTACATCATGATATTAACTCCTTTTAAGCTGAGAGCAGATGAGTATGACACATGTGATGAGAACTGGCATAATAATGATAGTTGGCAAAATTTTTAGAGGAAAAGCCCTACTTTTGTAATCATAAAATCACATTCTTCTGTGTAAAGGAGAGTTGAGAAAAAAATTTGAATGAGGTCCATTTTTAAAATCGATAATTCCACAGAAGAATAGGTATGACCTTGGGATGCAGTTTAACATAATATTTAAGATCATGGAAGTTATGCAAGAGATAATTGGACTTAAAACTTGGCTTTACTACTTACTGTTTGGGTGATCTGGGTAAAGTTATTTAACTATTCTGTGATAAGTTGATATTCCTAATAAGTAGACGTTTGTAAATCATCTGTGTGACTAGACATAAAAAACACTATATGTGCATTTATTAAATAAAATTTATTAAAAAGCAAAGGGACTCCCTTTTGTTTATATTTGTTGTTGTTGTTCCCACACTTTTCTTATTTTTCAGATGGGGTGCTAAATCTCATTCACGAGATCATCTGACAAGTGACATTTCGATTCATTATTTTAATGACTTTATATCTTTTGGCTATAAACAGATTATGAGGTCAAAGTCATATTTTTCTTCTTTGCGTTCCATGATGCCTACGAAACTGTTTGGAAGGTTTCTGTAGTCAATTGTTGAATAATCCACCAAGCATCCAGGACAAGGTCACTTTTCTCAGTGAATTCATATCACACTGCTCTGAACTTAGATCAGAAAAAGTCTCCTAAAATGAGTTGGACCCCACTGGATTTCAGGGAAATTTCATCTATAAACTGTGTTTTTCTAAAAGGTGAATTTTCTTTTTTTTTTTTTTTAAAAAAAAAGATGACCGGTAAGGGGATCTCAACCCTTGGCTTGGTGTTGTCAGCACCAGCTCAGCCAGTGAGCAAACCGGCCATCCCTATACAGGATCCAAACCTGTGGCCTTGGCGTTATCAGCACCGCACTCTACTGAGTGAGCCATGGGCCGGCCTTAAAAGGTGAATTTTCTAATGGTAGTGAATTTTATATTTGTTAAAGTGTTTGATGAAGATATGACAGAAATATTAGAGCTATGCATTCAATGTATTCTCTCTCCTCTACAAATAGCATTATGTTATATAGTGATTAAGCACACAGGATTTGGAATTAGGCAAACTTGAGTTGAATCTCAGTTCTGACACTAGAAGTCATTGAACTTCTCTATTCCTAAATTTATTTGTTATATTTAGCTATAATAATTCTTGAAATCAAGAAACTTATTTTAGGGCCGGCCCGGTGGCGCACTGCTATAGTGCGCCGCTTGAGAGCGCGGCGGCGCTCCCGCCAAGGGTTCGGATCCCACATACAGACCGGTTCCTGCTCACTGGCTGAGCGAGGAGTGGGCGCAACGCCGGGGGTTGCGATCCCGTTGCCGGTCCCGGTCCGGTATGGGTGCGACACTGAGGGTTGCGATCCGTTGCCGGACACGAAAAAAGACAAAAAGGAAAAAAAAAAAAAAAAGAAACTTATTTTAGTACCTTTTACAGAGCTTGTTGTAGATGCATAAAATTCATTTATTCTTCATAATATATTAAAATTATTATTACAATTAATGCAATTTTGATTGCTTAATAATTCAATATCCGACTTTCAAATTATAAATTCTCCTAATTATTATTTATAAGAATAAACACAAAACATTTAACCATACTGTGGGTGAGTATATGGTATGTGCTCATAGATTCTGAGGTTTAGCTTTCTGATGTATAAAATTAGATAACTGAATTCCCAAAATTCATGAATATCAGGGTAAGTGTTCTTCTGATGGCAATAAATTACATAACTATTTGGGCAAAAAAAAAAAAACCCTACAGAGTAAGCAAGTGTACATTTTGTCTATGGAAAATCCATTAGCTTTGCAATGTTCACAACAGATATTTTATTAATACTTTAGGGAATGAATTACCTATCTTAGTACCATCTAGAACTTTGAACTGTAGAACTTATTTTGCACAAGAGGCTGACAAGATTTTTCTCCAGCTTTTAGAAATAGGTCTTATAAAGAATGAGTATTTATATTCTAATTTATGGCAAGTGGGACATTATCCCAAGCCAATCTCTAACCTCAGTAGGACTTTGAACAGGAAATTACTCTATTTCTACTGGTGTGGATTGGTTGATTTCTTTTAAATAAAAACGGTGAATAATAGTACCATAATTGACCGTGATGTCGTCAGTTACAACATTACATATATCTTCATCAATTGGGAGATCTTTGATTAAAACAAAAACAAATACAAACCTTTAAGTCTACCAAACAATTAAAAAATAAAGATTTTTCCTGCAAATTCTATGATTTCTGTCGATTGCCATCACCTAATTTTCATTTGTTTCTCTACTATCTGAGTGACTGGAAGGAACAGTGCCTTGAATGTCAAGTGGCAGGAGTAAGATCTGGTGGCTCAGGCAACATGTATTTGAATGTTAGTTTCACCATTTCACAATTATGGGACCCTGAGCTCCTTATATACCTAATACATATATATTAGGTATATATATATTACACCTCATCAGATTCTTGTGAGGACAGAAATAACACAGGGAAGTATTTAGCATCTTGTTTCATGATTGTCAGCTTTCTGTAGCAATTACTACAGTATTTTCAGCACTACTTTTTTAACGCTTTAAAATGTAGGTCTAGATTTTAGCATTCTTTAAATGATTGACAATGGCAGCCTATTCCTTAAGACACATAAGGTGGACAGAGTGGAGAATGGATAAATACAGGATCCCATTGGCCTCTTTCCTATACCTGATGGGAATATTGAAAGCAGTTTTGCTGCTACTAGAAGGATGTCTCATTAATAGGTGAAAAATCAGTGTATTTTTTTTTTTGAAAAAGTATCATCGTATCTCGGTAAAAAAATCAATGTGATTTCCATTTATCTTGGTATATACCCAGCAGTGTTGAAGGGGAACCTGTATTCCCATGTTTATTGCAGCACTATCTACAACAGCCAAGAGTTGGAACTAGACTAAATGTCCATCATGAGATGAGGGGAAGCATATCTACACAATGGAATACTATTCTGCTATGAAAAAAAAAAAATGAAATACTACCTTTTGCAGGGACATGGATTGACTTAGACAAAATTATATTAAGTGAAATAAGCCAGGAACAGAAAGAGAATTATCACATGTTCTAAATTATTTGTGTGAGCTAATAAAAATAAATAAGTAAATATACAAACAAACTGGGGCTGGGGCAGGGGGAAGACACAACAATCACAAGTCCTTGATTTTTTTAAGACAACCGAACAGATATGATGTTGATGGCGGAGGGGGGAGAGGAAGGGATGTTGATGGAGGGGGATGGGGAAAGGGAGGGAGGAAAAGGAGGAATTGGTAAAGGTACGTGAAAGTCAACTACATTATATATTGAAAAATTAAAATAATAAAAGAAATAAAACTTTAAAAATTGAAAAAAGCAATGTGTGAGAGGAATTAAGTGCTGGTAATACACTGCTGAAGAAAACTAATAAGCATGTAACCGGCAGACAAAGTTCAGCTTCTCTCTGGTCAGAAACAAAAGACTCATCCATCCCAAATGTTGCTGCAAAGCAGAAAGTTTATCATCAAACATCTTAGGAGTCAGCAAAACTACAATTGTTTTAGAGTCTTAGAGTTATTTGTGACAGTCAAGGTTCCATAAGACAAAAAGACAAAGGGAGGTGTGTATTGTAAAATGTCTCAGGAATAGAGTTGGTGAATACATGCAGATCAGCATGTTTTAATCCCTGTCTTTATGCTCCATTCCTGTAAAGACTGAAATCAGACTTCTTGGCTATGACTTTATCTCCTTCCCAGACCATCTGCAATTTTAAACAAGACTGTTAGTTTTGAAAGTTACTGAGTTATGTCCTTACTTTATTACTCCTACAAATTGCAGCAATTGTCCATCGTTCAAGCAGAATTCTTTTCTCAGCATTAAACTCTAACATGGCTTTCCTTATGCTGAGCTAATATTTGTGGTACTCTATCAAGAGAATGTGCCCAAATTATTTTTTTCTTTCTTTATTCTTTTTTCATTTAATAAACATACAGACTTGGCAAAAAGAAACAAAGCAAAACAAAATTTTTCTAGTTGTGTATATTAAAAATGGTACTGTAAAAATGTTCCATTTGTATA